TTCCTAACTTATGCTACACCTCCCCTTCAAAAAAATCAAACTTATCAGTAGAATATATCTAAGAAATATAAAATTCTGACTGAAATATTTTTTTCTGGTTTCTAAAACATCTGTAGTGAAATCTGTCATATGTTCAAACTCATTTAATTCTCATCCTTCTCTCCCCTCCCCACCATGCCTGATAGAAAATCTTTCTCAAACTAATATAAACCTCCTCAGTTTGCCATTGAATACACGGTGCCTACTTCTACACTAAGCACTCATCTGTTTTTCCCCATTATCTCAACGGCCAACAGAGCAGTTTTTTTTTGAAACCTCAAACAAAAGGATTAAAGATACATAAAATCATCTGCTCTCATCTTCAATGATGGACAGGAAGAGCAGAGAAGCTAATACATTCCTCTTGAAAACACATACGCATGAATACACTTTGTTCTTCCCCAAAATACCAAAAGGATAACAGACAGCAAATCATGCCCACAAACCAAAACACAGTTGTTTCATCTAATTTTAGAAAAAAAATAACAAGGAACTGGAGAAAAGTTCTCCCTGGAATAACTCAATCCTCAAATCAGGGAAATTCAAAGAGCATAACATGGAAAAACCAACAGCCTCAATTCTCCCCTTCAGGATACTAATTCTATCAACACCAAATCAAAACAAAGCGTATGTTTTTAGAAGATCCCAAAAAGTTTGAAATCTCTTTTTCAAAGAAGGAAAAAAAGACCACTTACAGAGAACATGTCTGAATGTCAAGCACAGGTGCTCTGTGGTTTACTCCAAACCTGTTTCTTTTTTGTACCATATTCTTTTTTTTTTTTCCCTTGAAGAGCCTCCACACCCAGCTTGTAGCCCAACTCAGAGCCTAAACTCAAGACCCTGAGATCAAGACCTGAGCTGACATCAAGAGTCAGACGCTTAATTGACTGAGCCACCCAGGTGCCTCCCATATTCTTTTAAAGTCTTATAAACTTATTTGTTTATAAACTTACTTGTTTAAAGAAAACCAAACTATATCATTTACATCCAGAAGTATCCTTTATTTATATTTTAAAGTCTCATAGCCAGGTGTTTGTTATTTGATTACTTTGCTCAGCCCTAGGCAATACGGTTAGTTCTTCCCTTTCTGGAAGCTGTGAACAAGACTCAGTCTAGCTGTACTTGAGACAAGCAGTCTCAATCATTTTGTAGGTATATCTCCAGATTTTGCTTAGGGGTACCTGGGTGGCTCAGTCATTAAGCATCTGCCTTCGGCTCAGGTCATGATCCCAGAGTCCTGGGATTGAGCCCCACATCGGGCTCCCCGCTCATTAGGAAGCCTGCTTCTCCCTCTCCCTCTGCCCCTGCTTGTGTTCCCTCTCTCGCTGTGCCTCTCTCTGTCAAATAAATAAATAAAATCTTAAAAAAAAAAAAATGTTGCTTAATCTGAGAAAATCTTGTACTTTTTCCCTGGAACCTTCAAGAGTAGAAAGAAAATATAAATTATAATCTAATTGTTTTTGGAGGGAGTACTGCTCATATCCTAGGGACCTTCATACCATCTCGTCTCTTAAGAGAAACCTTTTCTTTAGTAATCAAGAATTTGTCCAAAATAAAAAACACGTATTTAAACTTGTACCCAGAATTCAGGTTAACTAGGTAAAATTGGCATTAACAAAAGACAGTTGAATAACAGAAAACTGCAACAGATTTATACAGAAATTTAATGTGTCTTTAAAAGGACTTGGGGAAGAAGAACAATTATTTCACAACAGTCTTACTTCTGTGAACTATTACTACATTAAGCCTGTGTTCTGGTCTTTTTGCTATCAGGAGTCCAGGGGAACAGAAGATACAAATTCCACAAGACAAAGACCTCTTCTTGCCAAAATTCTTTTTAAAAAACTTGGTCATTAAAAGATCTTTTCTAGGGCGCCTGGGTGGCTCAGTTGGTTAAGCGACTGCCTTCGGCTCAGGTCATGATCCTGGAGTCCCAGGATCGAGTCCCGCATCGCGCTCCCTGCTCGGCAGGGAGTCTGCTTCTCCCTCTGACCCTCTTCCCTCTCATGCTCTCTGTCTCTCATTCTCTCTGTCTCAAATAAATAAATAAATAATTTAAAAAAAAAAAAAAGATCTTTTCTAATGAAAAACATTTCAAACCAATACTAATTTCAGAAACCTCATTTCTGAGCTTGTACCTCAGGTACAATATATTAATAAAAGGGTTTTATGTTAATAGACTTAGGATATGTTTCTCATTGGGTTATATGGATCATTAAAAGTTCCTAAGGGGAGCCTGGCTGTCTCAGTCCATAGAGCATGCAACTCCTGATCTCCAGGTCGTGAGTTCAAGCCCCATATTGAGCACAGATTACTTAAAAAAAAAAAGTTCCTAAAAAAACTGTCCAATTAGATGAGAAAGTGAATGAACTATTTTCTAAGCATGTATAAGGTAAGTAGTCTCAAGCATTTTTGAGATTTATCACAACTCTTGAAGTTATTTAAACTGCACCAAGGAAATGCTAAAAATTCCCACAGGTTCTAATCAATGCCCTATTTATTCTCCACATTTACTCTCCACTTGCTCCACCAAACCCCCAATCCCTCCTCTGCTCTGTTCCTTCCCTGGGAGGATGAGCCAACACAGATCATCACCTAGGCTCCCCAGGTGGGTGCCAGCAATGCAAGCCAATGAACAAGACCAAAGACAGAGGGAGGTCAGGGAACTTCCCCTCCCTCCCTGCCTGACTGCTTCAAAGCCACAGTTCCCAAGGCCCTCCTCCACAATGCCAGCTCTCAACTCTCAGTTCCGGTAATCTCTGGAGAATTAAGGGCTTCTCACCATTGCTATTCCCTGGGTGCTCCCCCCCGCCCCCCACGACCACCCTTGTTTGTTCTCTAACCTCTGTAAGCTCTTCTTTTGCACCATCAAGGATGAAATCTCTTTCCTGCTGGGAGCCTGCCTGATGCAGCTAACAATACCAAGTCTGGTTAATTCAAAACAGTACATTACATAAAGAAATCCAATTTTAAAAGTTTAACAAGGTCTTATTCAAGTATTCAAGTATTCTTCAAGTATTACTTACTATTGCTATTTGTGTAATTGTTTAAAGATTAAATATAACCAGTTCACTTCCAAATGAAGCTGGTTAAAAGCTGAAAAAAATCATTACAATTAAAGCTAGGTGTGAAATTTAACACTGTCCTGTCCTCTCAAGATAAATGCCTATAAGCACCAAATAAACTTAACAGAAGAAAAAAAAAAATCAATGAAGGGATTCTGGTAATCGATATTTCACTTCCTTCTACCATACACTGCCTGGTTAATCCAAACACTTTTTTGTTATTATTGAAGCCTTCCCTAGGCATAGGATAAAGAAGTTTTAAACCAGTGGTTCTCAGATTTTGGTGTGCAAGTAAATCAACCGAGAAACTTGTTAAAATGCTAATGCCCAGGCCTCACCCACACCTTTCTGACAAATGTTTTCACTAGTTCCCAGATAACTGTGATGCACACCTAAATTTCAGAACTTCTTAAATTTGGCCAACTTTAAGATTCCACCAAAATCTCCAATACACTTTTTTTCTTTTTGAATGAACATTCCACATTAAACATGGCCAAAGAAACCAAAAAACAACAACAAAAACTAACATAGTAACAATAATAATGCACACTAACTACACACCACTGTGATATGTGTTTCACATGTATTATCATCTAATTCCGTCCTCAAAAAACACCAGGTAGATAACATTATTGCCTCCATTTTATAGATGAGAAAACTGGAAGTCCAAAGAAACTAAGTAATCTGACTACAATAGTGACTGGTAAAACCAGGATCATCTCTGGTCTGCCAGTCCCTCTTACCTGTGAGCTGGGTAAGCAAGCACTTGTATATAAATGCAACTCTGGAGCTTCAGGACTATCACAAAAAGGATTAAGCCTAAGGGCGAAGCAGTCGAAACAAGCAATAACCCTCCCTGTCCACTCCCTCCCCACAACAAGCTGTCTTGAGCTTGACCCACCCCACCACTCACCAAGGCCTTCCACCTACACAGTATGCCATCACATACTGGTAGAACATCACAAGTCTGTATGTATCAATTCTTTCTACTCTTACCTACAGCATGGTAAGTACATCCAAATTCCATCTCCACCAAGTACTGGCTGTGAGCTTCAGCAGATTTAACATCTCTATGCCTCAGTTTCCCAATGTGTAAACTGTGGGTCATAATGTCAAATGCACTAAAGTAAGTCAAGTAGTGATTAACTGAGATAATGTACATAAAGTACTTGCTTGACACACTAACACATGGTAAAAACTCAATAAACATTAGCTGCTAATCCAACATATCAATCCTAGGTCCCATTTATTTTCTCTTAGCCTTGTGTTCCCAAGACTGTGATAAAAAATGGAACATACTCTTACTTATTAGGAGCAAACTGGTAACAGTGGACTGAAGGCCAGGAGTAGAATATTTTAGAGTAAATGAGTCTCTTAGTAACCCTCAAATTGCACAACTTCGACAACTATTTCCCAACTTTAGGTCAGCCCTGTTGATTACATACTAGTATGAAGAGTCTATAATTAACTTAATTCAAAACAACAATAAAATGTCACTCAGCACAGGGACTTGGGTCTTAATTTATCACTGTATCATCAGCACTTAGAACAGTACCTGGCTCATGGCAGACACTCAAATATTTGTCAAATGAATGAAGGCATAAAGGTACCAATGCAGACACACCTTAGCTCATTAGTGAATCTTTACAAAAACAAGCATAATTATCAGATCAATACCAATGTGCCAAGTAACAAAGTTATTTTCAAAATTCCCCCACAGTATTTTTCTCCTTTTTTTTTAAGAGCAAAACATCTTGTGTGTTTGTGTCACAAAAAAAATAAATCCAAGCAGGTAATGAAATAAACATATTTTTTTAAGTATCCCATTCTGGGTTCTCTGTCCTAGAATTTAGTAAACAGTTCAAGTTTAACTCGCTTCAACACTTCTTCTGGATGCTATGAGGTCTCCATCTTATACCCATGTTTCTGTAGTCCAGCTCCTAATTGACTGGAGAAGTCATCTTCTACATTGTCATCATCCCAATCATCCTCCCAGACATGTGCATCTTCATCTTCATCTAAGCCAGCCCAGTCTTCCTCAGGGAAGTCCCTGAACTCGTTGTCTTCCTCCAAGAGACTCAGGTCTACCGGCTGCTTTTTCTCTGACATGGTGACCCTCCCCACTGAAAACCTCTCAGGCTGAGAGGAAAGTTGGAACTCTCACTTTTTCTCACAGAAGACACCAACACCAACACCAACTCCACCTCTGAAGCCAGCTCTACCACACAGCTCGCCTTTCTTTTTTAAAACAAATCGTGGGCTTTTCTTTAAAAACTCTCCAACCCGGGGCTCCTGGGTGGCACAGTCGGTTAAGCAACGACTTTTGGTTTCAGCTCAGGTCCGGATCTCAGAGTCATGAGATCAGGCCCTGCATGTGGCTCTGTGCTCCGTGCAGAGTCAGCTTGAGACTCTCTCTCTCCCTCTCCCTTTGTTCCCCTTCCCCCCATGCTCACCCACTTGCATGTGCGCATGCTCTCTCTATATATAAAATAAAAAAATCTTTAAAAACTCTCCAATGAGAAAAGTTAATTACCAACCTCAGCTCCACTAATCTACTAAAAATGTTAAAGGAGTCCCATAATAATGCATCATGCTCACCTCCTACCTTACATTCAAACAAAAACAAAACAAACCTAGTAACTATTTAACAATTATCACTTCAGTGATGCTGACTTTGCAGAATTTCTTGAACCATCCGAACAGAAGCCACAAAATGAAGTAAGTGCCCGTTAAGAGGTTAACCCTAACACCTAGAAGATAACTGTGATCTACTATGGGAATACACATAAGTTCCATTCTCAGCTATGCTTCTAAGCAGCCACATACGTAACTTTGAACAAGGTGCTTAATTTTTTGTCCCCATTTTCTCATCTGCAGAATAAGAGTAAGTTTCCCACATCTACTTCAACAAGTTGTTTTAAAGACCAAATGTATATAAAATGATTTCCAGGACAATAAAGTGCCATACAAATGTAAATTGTTAAATTTGATATAAACATCATCAGATTTTAAATGGGTATTCCTATTCATCTTTCTTTTTATGTCGCTGCCACTCTTTATATTTCCTAGATCCAAAGATCTGCCAGTACAAAGAAGAACCAGTTCCTACCGACAGTCATATTTCAAACATAGTAGACGCTCAGCAGATATTTGTTGAAAAAGACATCCTTCCCCGTGCAACAGAAATTTTAAAATTCTGCTATATTCAATACCTTACCTTGTAAAGGTTAAGCCGCAGGTTACTTTCAAATAAAATAACAAGTGATGTAACTTACATGAGAAGTGCCTGCGGTTTTGTCAAGAGGAATGCCTTCCTTGTGCACATTACTCAGCCTGGATATAAATAGTCACCTATGTGACTATCACCCAGGGAATGTTCTTCAATATTCTGGTTTCACTGGAGGCATGCTTTCCGCATAGAAAAGGACTTCCCTTCTCTTTAACACTAGCAAGATTTCTAAAGATGCCAGATTCATTCTTCTGGTTTTACAGTCTATGCTTCAGCACTTACAGGGAGAACTTTTTGTGGACTTGTGGTCATTTCTCAAATTACCATGTCATTCTTCTACTAAATATGAAAAGTTTATTTTTCAAGACCATAAACAGAAAAATATTCTAATACTTATATTTTAAGATTAATAATAGTCCGGGGCGCCTGGGTGGCTCAGTCGTTGGGCGTCTGCCTTCGGCTCGGGTCATGATCCCGGGGTCCTGGGATTGAGCCCCACATCAGGCTCCCTGCTCGGCGGGAAGCCTGCTTCTCCCGCTCCCACTCCCCCTGCTTGTGTTCCCTCTCTCGCTGTGTCTCTGTCAA